AATCTTCAATGGATTTTCCAATCGAGCTCCTCCTCCCGGCTCACGACGCATAAAAAAATCATCACCATTCAGACAGGGTGGGTGGGTGGGGCTTAAAATTTATATACGGTTTTCTCTCAACAACAGAATATTTGAAATATCAAATGATGAATCTGAGGTTAGAATTAAGTCCAACATTTTGTAAAAAAACAAAGTGTATTCTATTATTGAAAGAAAACTGTATTAAGAACAAAAAAAGGCAACCTCAGTTGTGGTGAATTTTTTATTCGTTGTGAACTGGGAGGCGGAACTTATTTGCGAAAACCATATTTCTCTACAAAAATTGACCATTTTTAACATGCTTTAAGCTTCCCGTTTTTTTAAATATATGTAATCTTGTCATAACAAGATACTTGAAACATGTTTGGCCAATTTTTGTAGGCAAATATGGATTTTGCCATTAAGCTCCGCCCTCCGGCTCAGGACGTATAAGAAAAATCATCACAACTGCGATAGGGCGGGTGGGCGGTGCTTATATTTAGCCTTATTTTTTTCAAATATATGTATTTTTTTTCATAACAGAAAACTTAAAACATGTTCAAAATTGAAAATTTTTCTGAAGAAATATGAATTTTAAAATTAAGCTCCGTCCCCCGGCACACGAAGAAAAAGAAATCATCACAACTGAGACTGGGTGGGTGGGGCTTATATTTTGCCTTATTTTTAAATACATGTAATCTTCTTCTCATAACAGGAAACTTAAAACATCTTCACACTGGTAAATTTTTGAACAGAAATAGGAGTTTTGTAATTAAGCTCCGCCTCTCCGTCTGACAACGAATGAAAAATTCATCACAATTGCATATACATATTTAAAAAAAAACAAAGCACAATATTAGCCCCGCCCACCCACCCTATCTCAGTTGTGATGACTTTTTTTATTCATCGTGAACCGGGGAAAGCAACTTAATTGCCAAATCCATACTTCTCTACAAAAATTTACCATTTTGGACATGTTGTAAGTTTCTTCTTATGAAAAGAAGATTAGATATGTAAAAAAAATCGGCTAAATATAAACCCCGCTCACCCGCCCTATAGCAATTGTGATGATTTTTTCTCATTCGTCGTGAGCCGGGAGGAGGAGCTTAATTGCGAAATCCATATTTCTCTACAAAAATTTACCATTTCAATTTTTTTAATGAAACCAGTTCTGAATAACATGCCTGTAAAAAATTAGTAACAAATGGGTTTATTAGTAGAAAGGTTTTTAGATTATAAAAACGTATTATCTGTTCAAAATTCAAAGACCATTCAAAAAAGCGAAAGATTAAGCCCCACCTACCCGGCCCGTTCTAAATTGTGATGAAGTTTTCATTCATTGTCAGAGGGAGGGGCGGAGCTTAATTGTAAGCCCATATTTCTCTACAAAAATTTACCATTTTGAACTTGTTTTAAGTTTCTTTTTATAAAAAAAAAATTATAGGGGCAATTCTGTAAAAACTTGTTAAATTTGATTGTTTAATTGTAATTTTTTGTTAATTTAAATTTTTCTATTTTTCGATTTTGGCCTATTTCGATTACCAAATTTTTCAGTTTTGGCTTCGCGATTTCTCGATCTTTTGATGTTTCGATTTCTCGATTTTTCGATTTTCCAATTTTTTGATTTTCGATTTCGTAATTTTTCGTCGTTTCAGTCTAGGAGTTTTTCAATTTCTCAATTTTTCAGTTTTCCGATTCAATTTTCCAATTTTTTAATTTTTTAAATTTTGGATTCTCGATTTCTCTATTTCTCGGTTTTTCGACTCTGGTTTTTCAATTTTTCGATTTTAAATTTTAGATTTTTGCATTTTTCAAACTTCCATTCTTCAATTAATCAGTTCTTCCATATTTCATTGTGGGGATTTTTCAATTTTTTGACTTCTCAATTTTCCGATATTTCAGTTTTCAACTTTTCTATTTTTGATTTTTAAATTTTTGTAGTCTTTATTTGTTCCATTTTTGACTCTTTTGGAGGTTTTTTTTTGTATTCCCTATTTTCTCGCTTTTTTGTAACCTTATAATCACAAATTTTTGTCATTTTTTGTCTTTTTTGTAGCTTTTTTTCGCTTTTTGTTCGCTTTTTCTTTCATCATTTTGTGGCGGTTTTTTTGTTGCTTGTTTTGTCATATTTTATCGTAGATTTTGTTTCGATCTCTTTTTTTTGTTGTTGTATTTTCTCACGACTATTTTTTGTTGTCTTTTTTCGCGTTCTTTATGGTTTTTTACTTTTCTTGTAGATTTTTTCGACTCTTTAAAATATTTTTTGTCCCCTCTTTTATAGACCTCTTTGTGTGTTTTGTAGTCCTTTTGTAGTCGCATTTTTATGCTTTCTTTCGTATTTGCGTGTTTTTTTGTCGCATTGTTTGTCGTCTTCTTTGTTGCATTTTTTGTTCCTATTGTTGCCTCCTCTTGTTCGTTTTTAATATTTTTTTTTGTTGCTTTTGTTGCATTTTTGTGGCCTTTATCGCCTTTCCTTCTTACTTTTTTTCTGTTTTATTTTATCTTTTTTGTCCCATTCTTTTTTTTTAATTTTTATGGCTTTCATTAGTCGCTTTTTTAATGCTTGTTTCCGTTTTTGACAGCTTTTTGTTATTTTTTGAAGTCTTTTTTGCATTTTTTGTTGTCTTTTTTTTTTTAATTTTGGCGCTCCTTCTTCTTGTTTTTCCTTCTTTTTTATCTTTTTTGTGCCCGTTTTGTCGTCTTTTTTCTCGTTTACATCGTTTTTTTTCTTTTTCTACAATTTTTTTTTGTCGTTTGTAGTAGATTTTTTTGGAATTTGTTATCGTTTTTTTTTTTGTTAGAATTTTTGTGACCTTTGTTTGCAATATTTGTTGTCGTTTTTTATTACCCCGTTTTACCCCCTTGTTTTGGATTGTCGGGGGGTGGGGATGTTTATATTTCTCTCACAACAGAATATTTGAAATATCAAATGATGAATCTGAGCGTAGAAATTAAGTCCAACATTTTGTAAAAAACAAAGTGTCGGAGATAATTCTAACCTCAAATTCACTATTTGATATTTTAAGTATTCTATTATTGAAAGAAAACCTCAATTGTAATAAATTTTTCATTCGTCGTGAGCAAAAATGTACTATTTTGAACATGTTTTAAGTTTCTTGTTATGAAAAAAAAATTACAAATATTAAAAAAAACAAGGATAAATATAACCCCTGCCCACCCACCCTATCTCCTTTGTGATGATTTTTTTTATTTATCTTGAGCCGAGGGGTGGAGCTTAAATGCAAAATCCATATTTCTCTACAAAAAATTACCATTTTGAACACGTTTTTTTTTAAATATATGTAATCTTTTCATAAGGAGATACATGAAACATGTTCAAAATGGTTAATTTTTGTAGGCAAATATGGATTTTGCAATTAAACTCCACCCCCCGGCTCACGACGAATAAAAAAAAATCATCACAACTGCGATAGGGTGGGTGGGCGGGGCTTATATTAAGCCTTGATTTTTTTTAATATATGTTTTTTTTTTTCATACCAGGAAACTTAAAACATGTTCAAAATGGGAAAATTTTCTAGAGAAATATGGATTTAGAAATTAAGCTCCGTCCCCCGACCCAAGAAGAATAAAAAAAATGATCACAACCGAGATTGGCTGGGTGGGTAGGGCTTATATTTAGCTTTGTTTTTTTTAACATATATAATCTTCAATGGATTTTCCAATCAAGCTCCTCCTCCCGGCTCACGACGCATAAAAAAAATCATCACCATTCAGACAGGGTGGGTGGGTGGGTCTTAAAATTTATATACGGTTTTCCCTCAACAACAGAATATTTGAAATATCAAATGATGAATCTGAGGTTAGAATTAAGTCCAACATTTTGTAAAAAAACAAAGTGTATTCTATTATTGAAAGAAAACTGTATTAAGAACAAAAAAAGGCAACCTCAGTTGTGGTGAATTTTTCATTCGTTGTGAGCTGGGAGGCGGAACTTAATTGCAAAATCTATATTTGTCTACAAAAATTTACCATTTTGGACGCATTTTATGTTTCTTGTTATGAAAAGAAAATAACATATATAAAAAATACAAAGGTAAATATAAGCCCCGCCCACCCACCCGATCTCAGTTGTGGTTATGGTTTTTATTCAAAACGCGTTATTTTAGTTTGTTTTATTTTCACATTTGTCATAAAATTTCAAACTTTTTTGTAGCGGTATTTTGACTTTTGAATAAACAGTACCAAAGTCATAATTATTCAAAATGAGAGATGGCGCTAGTTATCCAACACTTTTTTGAGGTTATGACGTCATTTCAAGAAATCACCTTATTCTAACTATTTTGTTTCAAGCAATGTGAAAAATGGCTTTTTGTTGTGATAAACTCCAATTTTTCACAGAAAAATTGCCGGTTATATTTTGTTTACTCTTAGTCATTTCTGTTGACTAAACACAGCCAAATGTGTCCATAATGGAGTCATTACCGGCAAAATGTACCCGACAAACACTGCCCCACATTTCACGACGCTCTTTGATTCCAGATCGCAAGATGACACGAAACAAAATACTCCTAATTTTCCGGCTCGTTATTTCCGCCATCGGCGTCTCCGAAGGAAGAATCCACCAAGAAACCATCATCGAATATATTAAAGAAATCACGGCGACAAATCAGCAAAAGTCGATCATATTGGTGTACAACGAGCCAAGTGCATTCGAAGATTTCTCCACGATCCTCTACGGCCTCCACCTCCCCTCATTCAACATTTATCTCCGCGACCTGAAGAAGTTTAACGGCAAATACAACGACGGCTACGACATAAAAATGACGTACGAAGAGAGCAAGCTGTTCTTTGTGTTCATGAAGAATTTAGGCGACATCTACGCGGAATTAAGCCTAATGAGAAAAATCTATTTCTGGAGGGACCGGGACCGGGTGGTCGTATTCGTTAACGGCAATTACAGCCTTCCCGCCCTCAAAGCAAGCTTCCTTTTTTGTTATCAGTTTTATGTAGTTAATATCGTATTCGCCTTCGTCGGTGATAAAATCGAGGCTTTCTCTTATAATCCCTTCAGCAAGGATTACTCCCTCCGGATGGAGAATCCCCGGAATTTATTCCCGGATAAATTCCAGAATTTGTACGGTTATCGACTACGCGTGTCGATGTTCCCGAGCGTGATTAACCACCTGGAGGAGAACGAGTTCCATGGAGCCGACGGCCACATGGCTCGAATCATCGCCAGTCAACTCAACGCCACCTATACTTATATCCCGACTCGACCTAGTGACCGCGCTCCAGTACTCACCCAGTACGACGACGTCGCCGAGAGAATCGCCGACGTGGGGTTAACCACGCGCTACGTTAAACTCAACTTCGAGAACCTCATCGAAAAAACCTACCCCCACGATAGAGACGACCTCACCTGCCTCATCCCCAAAATCCACGTGAAGAAGTTCACCGGAATGCACTCCCTCCTACCCGACTCCGTCTGGTTTTTATCCCTCGCGACCTCCCTCCTCTTCTTCTTGTACGTTCTAGCCGAGCTACTCCTCAACGGGCGCAAACTCGACGTCGTCAACGTCGCCTTAACAATCCTCCTACTCCTGGTGAACAAACCCGTGACAGAAACCCGCTACTTGAACTTCAGAGCGGCCCTAATCTTCTACTTGACCTTCTGCGTCTTTCTCAACACCCTCATAGTCTGCAGACTAACGAGCATCTTCACAGCGCCCGCTCACTTCCAAGGGATCGAAACGGTGACCGAACTCGCTGAAACCGACTACGAAATTCTGACGATTGACCGGTTCGAGGACCTGCTGAACGCATCGCTAGGTCCGAACTTGCGAGACAAAATCCTCCCCAGGTTGAATCTGATAAAGGAGCCCGAGTACTTGGAACGGATTAGGAAGTGCAGGAATGTGGTTTTTATCCTGAAGGATCATCTCGCTAATTACGCGCAGATTCAGAAGGAGAATTATCCGAATGGAGTCCAGTTTTATCGGGTTATGAGGGAGAGGATTTTACCGGCTCTGAGTTGCTATATTGTGAGTTATGGCTCGCCCTTTTTGAAGAGGGTGGACGAGTTGGTTAGGAGAATCATGGAAGCGGGGATTTACGATTACTGGAAGATGAAGACGTGGCAGAGGCTGGGGGTTGGTAATGAGTTTCGGTTCAACAAGAATTCGTACGGGAACGAGGTGGCGGTGTCGCTGGATGACGTCGCGACTGGAGTTCAAATACTGGTTTTCGGACTTGGGACTTCCTTTTTGGTATTCCTTTTAGAGATGTTGGCAATAAAGTTGTTCAAAAGTTTTGATTAGTTTCACTGCAGGGGGATTAAGGTAACGGGTTTTAGGTGATTTTTGACGACACATATTTTTTACTTTTTAATTACATAATTTTTCGGTTGTTTGGTTTAAGATTCGATTTCGAGTTTTTCATTTGCTTTTCTTTCTTGGGAATGTATTACGTATGCAGATTTTGATTTTACTTAATTTGAAAAATTGGGAAAGAAATTGTGTTTGCGCTGGTAAGATCCTTGTGTCTGAGAAAATAATCCGAAATATTTGGGTGCAACCACTTCAAAATTTGTCACTTTTTATTTTGACGTTTCTGGAAATATGGTAACTTTCGAAGAAGTGAAAACAAAAAACAATTGATGAAGTTGAAATAAAAAAAATTGGTCGAAAGATATTTCCACAGAACTTCCCTGGCTTCTCAAGTACAGTCTAACAAATACAGCTTCTCTGAAAAATTACAAAATTTGATTTTGCGGAATTTTACTTTTTAGTGATAATCTCTATGGAGTAAACACAATTTAGAAAATACTGGTCACAATGTAAGAAAAGAAAAGTTGGGAGTCCCGAGAAGGTCTCACATTAAAAAAAAATCCATTTGGGGCCCCCGAGAAGGTTTTACATTTTTAAAAACGACAGTTGAGAACCTGAGAAGGTTTCACATTAAAAAATAAACATTTAGGGCCCTCGAGAAGGTTTTACATTTTTAAAAACGACAGTTGGGATCCCCGAGAAAGTTTTACATTAAAAAAAGGCAATTAGGCCCCCGAGAAGGTTTCACATACTTAAAAACGACAGTTGGACCCCCGAGAAGGTTTTACCTTTTTAAAAGAGACAGTTGAGAATCCCGAGAAAGTTTCACATTAAAATAAAAAGCCATTTAGGGCCCCGGAGAAAGTTTTACAATTTTAAAAACGACAGTTGGAATCACCGAGAAGGTTTTACATTAAAAAAAGGCATTTAGGGCCCCCGAGAAGATTTTACACTTTTAAAAGACACAATTGGAACCCCCGAGAAGGTTTTAAGGTTTTACATTTTTAAAAAAGACAGTTGGGATCCCCGAGAAGGTTTTACATTAAGAAAAAAAACCATTTGGGGCCCCCGAGAAGGTTTTACATTTTCAAAAAAGACAGTTAGGATCCGCGAGAAGGTTTTACATTAAGAAAAAAAGCCATTTGGGGCCCCCGAGAAGGTTTTACATTTTTAAAAGACAATTGGGGCCCCCGAGACGGTTTTGCATTAAGAGAAAAAGACATTTTGGGCCCCCGAGAAGGTTTTACATTTTCAAAAAAGACAGTTGGGATGCCCGAGAAGGTTTTACATTAAGAAAAAAAGTCACTAGGGGCCCCCGAGAAGGTTTTACATTTTTAAAAAAGACAGTTGGGATCCCCGAGAAGGTTTTACATTAAGAAAAAAAGCCATTTGGGGCCACCGAGAAGGTTTTACATTTTTAAAAATGACAATTGGGGCCCCCGAGAAGGTTTTACATTTTTAAAAAAGACAGTTGGAAACCCCGAGAAGGTTCCACATTAAAAAAAAACACATTTAGAGCCCCGAGAAGGTTTTACATTAAAAAAAACGACAGTTGGGATCCCCGAGAAGGTTTTACGTTTTTAAAAAAGACAGTTGGGACCCCTGAGAAGGTTTCAAATTAAATTCAAAATAAAAAAAAATTGGTCGAAAGCTGTTTCGACAGAACTTCCCTTGCACTTAAAGGACAGTGAAACATATCCACATTTGCCGAAATAAGTCTTATCTTAGCAAGTACTAACCCCGCCCACCCACCCTTTACTCTCTTAGAGTGTATGTCATTTGCCAAAATCAGCCTTATCTTACCAAGTACTAGCCCCACCCACCCACCCTCTCTTTTCTTAGGGGATACGTCGTTTGCCAAAATCAGTCTTACCTTACCAAATACTAGCCCCGCCCACCCACCCCCTGTTTTCTCAGAGGATATGTCATTTGCCAAAATAAGACTTATGTTAGCAAGTACAAGCCCCGCCCACCCGCCCGTTATTTTCTCAGGGTGTAGTACTTGCTAGTACTTGCTAAAGTAAAACTTATTTTGACAAATGACATATCCTCTGAGAAAATAGGGGACAGGTGCCAAGATGTACTATCAAAAAAATATAGGTTTGGATGATTATGGTTTTTATTCAAAACACTTGTTTCTGATTATTTTATTTTGACATTTGTCGAAAATGCTCGGAGAAACGTCAAAAATCTCATACTTGAAAATACTGAAAAATTAAATTTTTGGAAAAATTTACTGAAAATCCATTAAAAAAATCTTAGATATCGATCTCAACAAGTTCAATCGAAAAGTATAGCGTTTTGATACTCTTGGATCAAAATTTTCGAAGTACAGATTCATCAAAATTGATTGAGAGAGTTGGTACTCCCTGTTTTTGCCGTGAAGTTTGTCAACCTTATGACAGATTTGTTTAAGGTTATGTGACAATGAATTCAGTGGCGTGACAAGAGAACTGGGGGTTGATTATCGAATCAATTCCACGCCCCAAATTCGTCTTGAGTACCAATGCCATCACTAGAAAAGTGTTTTCTGTCAACAGACAGAGGCATATTAGGAAACGCAATCGAACAAATCCAAAATTCTAAACTCCAAATCTAACAACTAATATTTTTTACCAAAAAAAATCGAAAAAAGACGCCACTGAGTTTTGAAATTTGAAACTTCAACCTTCAAATCTAGCAGCTAATATTTTTATACAACTTAATAAACCAAATTATTCAAGTTCAGGTTTACCAACTCTCTCAATCAATTTTGATGACTCTGTATTCGGTTTCAGAGTCAGATTTTTAAAATATTTCAAATATGAACTCGAAAAACACCTAATCAAGTTGAAATCAGCAAAGAGAACTCTTTCAGTAATTTTCGAAGATGCTCGGAGAAACGTCAAAAATCTCATACTCGAGAATTTTCAAAAATTGAACTTTTGGAAAAATTGACTAAAAATTCACAAAAAATCTCGACAAATTGATTCGAAAAATATAAGATTTTGACGGTCCTGATTTTTAAATTATGTGGTTTCAAATTCGGATTTTTAAAATATCTCAAAAATTGTACTTTTTCATTTTGAGGCTTTTGGAAAAATAATTGAAATTTTAGACGAAATAAAGCCGAAAAACAGTTAATGAGATCGAAATCAGCAAAAGGAATTTTTTAGGCAATTTTCGATGCTCGCAAAAATGTCAAAATTTTCATATGGGAAGGTACTAAAAAATTGAACTTTTGGAAAAATTGCCTAAAAATTCATCAAAAATCTTATAACGGGTGTCCCACGTAACACTTCTGGGATGTAGATCTCGGCAAGTTGAATCGAAAAATATAAGATTTTGGCGGTCCCGGACCAAAATTTTCAAAATATATGGTTTCAAATTCGAATTTCAAAAAAAAAACAAGAGTAAATATAAGCCCCGCCCACCCGCCCGATCTCAGTTGTGATGATTTTTTTTATTCGTCGTGAGCCGGGGGGCGGAGCTTAATTGCAGTACCCATATATAAAATTTACCTTGTTTTTTTTTGTTAATGAAACCAATTCTGAATAGCATATGCTTACAAAAAGCGGATTTTGTTAAAAAAAATCAGTAACTAATAAACCCATTAGTAAAAATGTTTTGAGATTATAAAAACGTAATATATATTTCAAATTAAAAATCCACTCAACCGGCAACATAGTACGAAAACCGACAACATTGTCTAGAAAGATCTTTGGTGCCAAGATGTGCTGTGAAAAAAATTATTATTATTATGGTTTTTGTTTTAAACAATTGTTTTTGATTATTTTAGTTTGACATAATGCTCGGAGAAACGTCAAAAATTTCATAGCAGAGAATGCTCAAAAATTGAACTTTTCGAAAAATTGACTAAAAATCCGCAAAAAATCTGGGGTGTAGATCTCGACAAGTTGAATCGAAAAATATAAGATTTTGGTGGTCCCAGACCAAATTTGTCAAAATATGTAGTTCCAAATTCGAGTTTTCAAAATATTCCAAAAATTGTCTTTTTTCATTTTGACGATTCTGGAAAAATAATTGAAATTTTAGAGAAAAGATTGCCGAAAAACAGTTAATGAGATCGCAATCAGCAAAAGCCGATTTTCAATGCTCGTGAAAATGTCAAAAATTTCATATGGGAAGGTACTAAAAAATTGAACTTTTGGAAAAATTGCCTAAAAATCCATAAAAAAATCTGAGATCTATACTTTTCGACAAGTTCAGTCGAAAAGTATAGCGTTTTGATAGTAGATTTTCGAAATATTCGGTTTTTTTACAATTTTGGAAAATTGGTTGAAATTTTTGAAGAAATTAAGTCGAAAAACACTTCAGGAGGTCGAAATCAACAAAAGGAATGTTTTTATTAATTTTTAAAATGCTCGGGAAAAAGTCAAAATTTTCATGCGGGAAGGTATTGAAAAATTGAACTTTTAAAACTAAAAATCCACAAAAAATTCTGGCATATAAATATCGATGAGCCCAATTGAAAAACATATTTTGTTCGTGGTTCCGGGCCAGGAATTTCGAAATATTTCGTTTCAAATTTAGAGGAAATAAAGCCGAAAAACACTTAAAGAGTTCGAAATCAACAAAAGAATCTCTCGAGAATTTTCGAAATGCTCAGGAAGAAGTCAAAAATTTCATACGGGAGGGTATTAAAAAATTCAGTCTTTGGAAAAATTATATAAAAATACTTAAAATATCTCAGAAATAGCTCTCAACAAGTTCGATCAAGTATTAAGTTTCGATAGTGTTGGATCAAGATTTTCAAAATATTTGTTTTCAGAATCAGATTTTTTTTTAAATTTTATAAATTGGCATTCTGGAAAAAGGGTTGAAATTTTAGAGGAAATGAAGCCGAAAAACACTTGAGGAGGTCGTCGAAATCAGCAAAGCAAGTGTAGGTCATTTTTAAAAATGTTCAAGAAAATGTCAAAAATTTCACATTGAAAAATTGATGATTGTGGAAAAATTGTTAAAATTTTCGAATAAATGAAGAAGAAAAG